TTATATGTAATTATTTTTAGTCCGGGCACTTATTTGTAATTATTTTTACTTTCCGGGCACCTATATGTAAATTCCCCAAAGATTTATCATAATCTACCAGATAAATTCTTGTACTACGTATAATATTTTAAAAATTATTCAGTATAACGATTAGGTACGTAAAGAGAATTGATCTAATATTTGAAGTGCTTTTGGTATTTACTTTACATAAAGACTTGATTGTGCGATCAATCAAATTATAATAAAATTATCATCTGTTACGAGTGTACTATATATTTTTACCAATCATTTCATTCATGTAAAAATACTCAAATTATGTCTATGACTGAGAAGTATTTAAATATTTTATTTTAATTGCTTGATATGAGAGTTAATCGCGTATTTAAATATGTATTAGCATTAGAGTACGGCATGTCCTAAATAAGTATCAATACAAACATATGAATTTACATTAGTAAACTTACATCGATATATCTTAAATAGTGATGAGACCCAAACCTGGTAGTTTGGCACTTGCCGTATCCCAAATTAATAAAATTACGAAATATATATACGTAATACGTATATACTACGTAATGTGAATTTCAGCAAAATGTGTTCCGTAATGCCAACTATTTGCCGTAAATAGTTTGGGTCTCATCATAAATAAAAATAAATAGATATATACATAAAATAAAATTGATACGTATACTGTATTCCATTATTTAAACTCGAATATGTTCTTAACTGTCTAATACGTATGGCCCATCAACTATATACTTGCTTTTTTCAATACGTAACATTATATAAAAATATAAAGAATGTACTACGTAGAATTAGTAATAAAAATCAACTTTTTAGCAGCAAAATTAGCAAATAGTTTCAACCAATAAAGATTGCAGCACTCTGAAAATGTGTGCCAGGTTAGTGTTTCGTATGATAACATGAATACTGATTAATAAATTAAAAAAAAATGCGTTAAATTTGCTGGTTTACAAATCGTTCGCCAAATAACAAACTATAAATAAAAAGATTATACCCACCCAAAATCGCAATTGATTAAACGTATTCATGGAATATCAAAAACTATCGTGTGACTAACCAAAACCCTTTTGCTCAAGGCAATAAAGTTATTTTACAGGAGACACAAAGTAAATAAAAAAAAAGAATCGTAAGATCAAAAATTTTAATAGCCATCGAAATAGAGATACGGCGTAAATTGCGCAACACTTGCCCTTTAGATTATAAAAATCCAATACTGAAAATTCGCATCTGCTTGATATTGATACTAGTTATATAACCAATAATTTGTCAAATCCAGCTTCATCAGTTAGTGACTCTTATTTTTATCAACAAAATTCTATATTAAGAGTCGAATCGATACGAAGTGGAGTAAAATTCGGGTATAACCAGAATCATTCCAAAGAAAACTCAAGGTACCTATGAAGACATGAAAATGAAAAACTTCCAAAGAAAAATATTATTTATCGAAAAACATTAATGCAAATAAACCGAATTAAAAAATAACGTAAAGTAGTTTAATCATTTCATAAAAAGAGATACAAGTTTTTTCATTAGATTCGAAGCTGTATTCTGAATCATACGAAGCACTAACTAGTACACATAAAATATGGAAGTGCTTACTATCTTTTTTTTCATAGAATTACTCTGATTAGCTAAAATTTAAAATTCGGCATGAATTTTCAACGTAACATTCATTACAAGGAATTCTTCAATTAACCGTAATAACCACTTCAATTAATTGCGATCGCTTTCAAATCACGTTGAGAGCTTGTTTGAGAACTCCCTTAATCAGATCAAACTGTTAAACAACTCAATTTTGGTTAGACCAAGATAAAGAAATTAGGGAGTAGGGTACATACGTATTACGTATCTACAAGAAATCAGTGATAAAAAAGTTATTGTTAACTAGTTCTTAAACGTTAATATGAAACATATGTCTTCAAAAAATTCTGTCTATTTTGAATCAAAAAATTTCTATTATAAATAATAGCACAACAATATTTTTCAATAGAAATACTATAAGTATACATTATTGGACAGACGACAAAAAATAACAGGCAATTTTTTTTTGTCGGAGTTAAGTCACTCCATGTGCTGCGTAGCAGCACATGAGTGAAATGAAAAAAAAATTGCCTGTTATTTGTCGTAGTATGTTCAATAATGATGTTATTGGATAGTTAATATGACCATGTGAAGTTTTTTCTGTGATATTTTGCAAAACTGATTACGTAATTTCATGCAAAAAATATCATGCCAAAAAAATTCATATTGTCATGTCGAATAACTAATAAATATAGACTTGACATTCAATGTAACTCGAAACGAATAGCATATTATATTACTTCGCCCTAAGGTTTTCTGCAACGCTCTGAACAATAATCACTACTCATTATTAGGATAAAAGTTAGGGTCAAAGGAGAGTTATAGTATACTTACAAACGGTATTTTTAGTAGTTTTTTTTTCAATACGCGTATGACTTAAAACCGCGTTGAGAGATAAAATAAGTAAATAAAACTTAATATTCATGTTACACGTTTTGTTTTAGTCGACTTAAAAATCTCGTTGAGATGATACAGCTTGAAAAAAGTGATATATTCACGTTACACGATATCCTGTTTTAGAAAATCATCATGATTTTTTTTTTTTTATCAATACGCGTGCAGGTACAATTGTATAAACCTGCGTTGGGAGATGAAAAAGGTATATAATGGCTACTTTTTATCCTTTTTTTTCTTATTAATTCTCATTTCGATTTTTTATTTTATTTTAATATTACCTCACCTACCTCTACCCTAAAAAAACATCTCTTCTCTCGTGGTTATAGTTATAACAAGAAAATATTCTTTGGGAATATCACCAACCAGAGGCTTTTGAGCCTCTGTTCCCAACTGTCTCTAAGAATATTCTAATTTTTTTTTTTTAATTTTCTGCACCTTTCGAGCGGGTTCACGTTTTAACAACATGGACCTTAAAGCAAAAACCGACAAGCGGCAGGGGTTATCTAATTAGTTCTCGCTCGAAGAACTGATATTTGATAAAATTCCCAGCTTACTTGGATTTTCGCGAGTCCTTTGTTAGAAACATTTGTTTATTTTTCGGTGTTCCTTTTCGAGTAAGGTCACGTTTTGTCAACTTGGACTTTAAAGCAAAAACCTACAAGTGGCAAGGGTTATCTAATCAGTTTTGCTCGAAAAACTGAGGTTTGATAAAATTCCCAGCTCACTTGGGTTTTCGCGAGTCTTTTGTCAAGACATTTACCTAGTCATAGGATACACCTCTACGTAGTGACTAGGACAAGTAAGCTATTTTTTAGCTGAAACTAAGTATCCTTGTAAAAAAAAAAAAATATTTATTGTTGTAAATAAAAAATTATCGTTGTCGTTGTAAATAAATAATTATCGTTGTTGTAATAAATGATTATCGTTGTTGTAAATAAATAATTGTCGTCGTAAATAAGTTATACAATATATATATCGTAGATCTGAATAATTCGTCGTTAAATAAACCCTATTATAGTCTAAATTTAATTTAAAATTAATGTCGTTGTGACTATACAAGGAAAATTATTACTCTGTTTAAATCGAGAAGAGTTATTTGATTCTTTTTATTAGATGGTTCTACTTATATTTTCATTCAAAATTTTATACAAGTTAAATATTTCCCAAAAAGATATTTATATAATAGTAATGTATATTATTATCGTATTAAAAGTCGTATAAATTGTTATCAAAAAATTTTTGAATAAGCTTTGCGACTATTATAGCCCGAGTGAATGATCCATAACTTGGGTTTTTAATTTTACTTCAGTTATAATATAGTTCACACAAATTTCGACTGCTCTGACATTCACGTTTAAGGTAACACGCTTTGATTAGAATTAAGTGTCTGAAAAGTAAAGCTATATTTTTACAACGTATGCACAATACTACATTAAATTAATAATGTAGTGACGTAGTTATTAAAGGCAAAAAAACATTGTGCTTGACCATCTGATCCATTTTTCTTTGACCACTCTAAAAAATAAAAAATACATGCCGTAGAGCATGGCGAGAGACTTGTAATAACATATCAACAACTAGCTTTCGAGTATATTAAATTGTATCAAAGTCAACAGGAGCTGTTAGAACGGGAATTCGTATGATAAATATTTACATTTAATAATGTTATTCATTTCATAATTATCCAAATATGCTTTTACTGTCTTAATATTTTAAAAAAAAATAAGATATGGTACCATCTTGATCTTTGTTTCATAATTGAACTTTTATAATTTGACCACATTCCCAAGTTTTGCCAGCCTCTAATTTAACGTATTCTGTGACTGTTCCAGGTTCAACACAAACCATTTTTTTATACTCGTCATCACCAAAATCCGACATTTCGAGAGCTTTTTTAATCCATGGATTCCAAACAACTTATTAAAGCATAGAAAATATTAAGATAAATTACATAATATAAAAATAAATGAGCTGTGCTGCGAAAAGGGAGGAAATCGACATTCATCAAATTACGTGATAAACATAAATCACAGTTTAACATTGTGATTTGATTAATGTCGATTTCCTCAGCACTCACCCCAAATTGACGGTAAAAAAATAAATAAAATACCTGTATCTTTTAAATTGAGTTTCTTTAGGGTAAAATTACCCACACCATCAGGTTGACCCAAGTCGATAATAAATTCATCTTTGGGAACATCCATGTAAATGCGATCTGTTTCTTGATCGATCGTAATTGAATCTTTAACATCCCGAATACGTGCGAAATTATTAACTTTATCAAGATAAGTAACTTCGTTCAGTCCTTTGATTGAAATCTTGGAAATATTCTGTAAAATGATAAAGGTTAAACTATTATAAATGAAATCAAAAAATTCAGTCTATTAATCTTACCGGGACAGAATAATAAGTATGTAAAAGTGCGTTAAATTCAAACGGTTCAGTACCATTATTTCTAACTTCCAGCGTATTTTTTAAAGTATTAGCAGTTAACGTTACAGTAAATATTAGTTCAAATTTTTTTGGCCATTCTTTATGAAAATTTTCTGGAACTTGTGCATCCGTAAGGCCTAGTTATTATTATTCCAGGGGTTGAATAAATTGACATTACATAATTTCAAAAAATAAAATAAAAATGCGACATGTACCAAACCTAGCAGATACTTCTTCTTCATTATCCGTAACAGCTCCTAAAAATTTCCATGTAGAAACACGAGCAATGCCATGTTGTGGAAGATTCGCTGTTTCTGCTGATGGCTCGGAGGCTTTGGCAAATTGAGGGAAAACTTGGTGTTTTTAAAAAATAAAAACTTATAAATTAAAGATTTAATCATAATTTTATTATATAAATTTTATGAATAACGAGATCTAAATATTAACATACTTAAAGGAATTCCACCTCGTATCGCTTTTGTTCCGTCAAGTTTCGACTTCTCACTTTTTGTAATATTTAAAAATAATTATTATTTTGAAAGTGTTGATTTATATACTGTGATATACGAGTAGGCAAAATAGTAATTAAGCATTAATACCTCAAAAAAAAACGTTCTTTGCCATCACATTTCCAGCTCGTTATAGTCGCACCGAATAGGTAAACTATTAACTAGTAATTCTAGTAATTCTAAACCATATCTTATCAATGATAAATAAATAAATAAAACCGATGTACCTTCGGTCGAAGAACCAGAGGAATGTTCCAAAGAAACTTTGCCTTCGTAATCTTTAATTGTCATTTTTCTTTGGTCATTGAACGATGTAAAGAATAGAGTATTTGTCAGGTGGTGCTACATACTACTTATATAGATGATCGGATTTATACCAAATTTAAATAAAGTTCTTTTTTTTTTTTTATAGTAAATAAAGTTCACACAGAACTTTCCTTCCATTATTTTCATAGTTTTTATATTTTTTTTTATAATATTCGTGCACTTTTTTACGATATAATAAAGTAATAATGGCTTATCCAAGTACTTCTTACGAAATTGGTCAATATTTGGATAAGGCCGGAGCTGTTGAAAAAAATATTGATATCATTAGAAATAATATTGGGCGCATCAAAGAATTGCAAACTCTTATTTTAGGAAGTACTTTGATACAGAAAGAAGACTCTTATAGAAATGAGCGTGATGGTCTTATAAATAATACGCGACAATTGATTATTGAAAATAAAGATCAAATTAAACAGTTGGAGCATGAAAATGCACAATTGTCCACTTTAAATCCTAATTATGACATCCATAAACGAAGAAATGAATTTTTAAGAGAAAAGCTCTCAAATGCTATCAAAGAATATCAAGAAGTTGCAAACGCCTATATACGTCAACAAGAAGATAGAATGGCTCGACAATATAAAGTCGTAAACCCAAATGCGACACAAAATGAAATTAATAATTATTTATCAAATCCGACACAACCGGTTTTTCAACAAGCTATTTTACGTACCGGTGAGGCGCATTCTGTATTGGACCAAGTAAAAAAACGACATGATGACATAAAAAATATCGAACAAACTATTGCGGAACTTACTACCCTCTTCAAAGAGTTACAATTTCAAGTTGAAGCTCAAGATCCAACTATTGTTCACATTGAACAAAATACAGGCGAAGCCGTAAATAAGTTAGAAAAAGCAGGAGACAACTTGAGTAAGGCACGTTTTAGTGCAGTATCTGCTAGAAAAAAGAAATGGATTTGTTTTGGAATACTTCTTCTTATTGCTATTATTCTCGTCGTCGTCATTGTTCTTAAAATTCCAAAGTCTAATTCAAATTCCTCACCAAGCACAACGGTTCATACTACTGTTACATCTTCTCCTATCTCAACAGCCATTTCAGCATAATTATTTATTATAATATTGCATTTATTATAATACTATTATTAATTAATAACGGGATGGTGGTTGTAGAATTGAGTTTTTTTGTTTTTTTTTCTTTTATTTGCCTCGCAAGTAGATTGTAACAATATGATACCCCTATAATAACTCTTTATATCGGTAATTTAAACGCCTGAGTATTTAATAAGTGTGACAACCTTCGAAAGGATCACTAGATATTTAATACTGTATTTATATTTTAAGCAGAAAATGTTTTTTATGGCGTTCGCTTTTGCTTTTTATATTAGAAAACAATAATTCCTACCTTTGATATAATGATATTTCATTACATGTATGTTTAATGTGACCTTTAATCGTTTTTTTTTTTGATATAGTACATATAACGATAATTTTCATTTATAGCTATTTTCAAAAAGGTGTAATCAAGCAATTTTTAGTATATATATGTAAAAATGGGAGATTGGGAAATCGAAAAATCAGATTATTAATCAAAATTAACTTTTTTATTTTTTTTTATTTATAATAATAATAATGATAAATCAAATAAATCATTTTTATTGTATAAATCATTTTTATTGTCGTATTCAATGGATACTCAATTTACAAAACTTGAATATAAGCGAGGAACTTGTTTCGAATGTCGGATGTGTTTATATTGTAGAATTAACTTATAGCAACAAAGATGTAACTATATATTAACTCAAGCACCACACAAACGTAATCAAACTAATACTGTCAAGTATGCATTCACAAGAATTTTTAATTCTAATTGGACTGGAAATTAACTTTCTTTTATTAAAGAAAAAGTTGTAAAATACAATTATTCAATAACAATGAATGAAAATTTCAAATTCTCACATTGTTCATGATGTAATGGCATCTTAATTATCATGTAGTATTCATAACAGAAAAAACACTAGGTACTAGAATTCAGTTAGTTGATTTTCAAAAATTCTGTTCAGATTATCAAAAGTTTTTTGTAGCAAAAAAAAATTGAAAATTTTTATTACAATTAATTTGCAAATTTCAAATAAAACTAAATATAAAAAAAAAGTAAGTACTAATATATAAAAATTTTAGAATAATAATTTTGAAACTGAAATTAATATTTTTAAAGACAATATGTTAAAAATATATAAAAACAAAAATAAAGTTTTAAAAATTTTAACTTTATATTAGAAAAAATTAAGATTGCAAAATATATATTAGAAATTTGAACAGCTAATCATTGTAATATTGTTACAGATAGTGTAACCTTCTGAGTACACTATAAGTAACAGTAATATAGCTATTTAATTATTTTAAGAAACAGTATTCATTAGAAAAAATTTTTTAATTAATTATAAAGACAAGTTCTACTTTACAAGAAGCAGTTCGTTTAGATTTATTTAATAATAAATATCCTTATTAATTAGATATATTTAGAGTTAAGTATAAGAAAAGAAGAAGGAGTTAAGGTCTAAACAATCTAAACAACTAAAGAGTAAGAGAGAAAAAACTACTTATATTTATAACTTTTGACAAGTATCATATAAAGATTAGCAAAGCATTATATAAGTGTTTTGTATAAACATTACTTAAGTATTCATACAAGTAACAAATAAATATTATCTATTAATAGTCTGATATAGTAAGAGGCATAGTACTTAGTACAGTTCAACATAGTCTTTCAGCATAGTCTAATAGTATTTGTAGTCAACTATTATTTATTGACTTAACTAAGTTAATATTTAAAAATCAGCTTAGCTAGCTATATCAGAGTTAATTATCTTAAATTCTATTTATTTAATTTTTAGAATATATCAGAAATTTCTTCAAATTTTTGTTTCAAAACTTACTTATATTTTATGTTTATTAATTTTCTTTTTGTAATTTGTCAAAATCTTACTATGACTAATTAGTTATTATAGTTTTTAACATAAAATTAACTTGACTATGACTAAGTTAATTTTTTAAAAAATTAACTAACTAAGTAAGCTAAACTGATTTTATTGACTAATGCAAAATCGACTACAAATACTACAGTCTAACATAGTATTAGCATAGTATTTAATATAGTTTTAATATAGTATTTAGCATAGTTTAACATAGTTTAGCATAGTATTTTTCTAACTATAGCTTGTATTTTCTCTAAATATTATATAATAATTTTAGATATAATTTATATCATCATGTAGCTAATATTCTTTGCTACAAATTTACTTAAGAGTATTTTCTACTATAAATATTTCTTGAGAAACTTTATTTAGAAGTAAATATTTACAATAAATTTCTTTATTCTAAAATATCTATACTAAAATAATATAATAATAAAAATAATAACTAAATACTAATAATAATAATATAATAAATATAATAATAAAAATAATAACTAAATACTAATAATAATAATATAATAAATATAATAATAAAACTAAATAAATATATTCATTTTTTAGATACAACTCTTCTTGTTGATCATCAACACCAATATCAGAGCAAACAAAAAATTTTGTTTTTATCTTAGAAATCTAGTAGTACCTCTAATACTTACCTAGTAGACTATATATTTTGACTAGTATAAGTATAGAAGTTTAGTTGTAAATAGTACAAGTCTAGTTGTAAGAGGCTCTCTCTTAGTGAGGCGTATATATAGAAACTTGTATATACATGTGAAGTATCATCTATGAATTAAAACAAAATAAGAAGAAGAAAGAAGCTATAGAAGTAGGGTATGAAGTTCTAACTATAATACTAGAACTAGATCTAGTATATTCTTCTCTTTAAAGTTTCTTTTGGTATTGTTTTCTCTTCTTTCTGAGTTCTTTGAATTTCTTTTTATTAAAAAATAACAAAAAGTGGAGGATTTGGTGAACTTCTGACAAAGGATTAGCAAGTCTATATTACTTTCTAATTTGGTAAATCATCTGTTGATATACAACTTAGACAAGACAACAAACATATATATCACTATCACATGGATGATCTAATTAGGATTTAATATTTGGATAAGTTACTTTAAATAATAGAGATATGTATTCTTGTTTTTGTATAGTATAATATTTTTACTTTTTATTTTTATTTTTTTTTTTATATTAAGAAGAGAGACTCCTTTTTTTCTTTTTTTTTTTTTTTTTTTTTTTTTATAATTGTTTTTTTTTTTTTTATTTTATTTTTTCATTTT